AGATCAAGAGTCGCATGCTCTGCAGACTGAGCCAGCCAGGCACCTCTAAAATGAATGTTTTTAATGTTTCTTCTATGAAACTTACCCATCCTGTATGGTTTTTGTGGATGATCCTTATTAAGTTAAGGATGTCCTATTTTTAATTTGGTAAGAGCTTGTATATTGAATGGGTGTTGGTTTTATTGACTAGTTTTGTTGTGTCTGTGGAGACGATCTGTAGTTTTTACCTTTTAATCTGTTAATATGAGAAATCACATTTCTTGATTTTCTAATAATAAGCCAAGTCTGCATTCCTAGGATAAACCCAGCTTGTTTGTGATGTATTATCTTATGAATTGCAATATTAAGTTTGCTAGTATTTTCTCAGCACTGTTTGCAACGATATTCATGAGTGAGACTGGCTGAAACTTTTCCTTTCTTGTAATATCTTTGTCTGATTTTGATGCTGAATCAGTTTTAGAAAATTATATTTTTCTATAAACATGTGGGGAATTGCCCATTTTGGCCTATTTTCAAATTTATTGGCATAAAGTTGTTCACAATATTCTCTTGCTTTTTATTATAATTATTATTATTATTTAAAATCTCTGCATCTGTAGATATGGGCTCTTTTTCATCCCTAATATTGTTTATTCTAGTCTTCTGTTTTATTGATCAGTCTTGCAAAAAATATGTCAGATTTTTGGACTTTTTAGAGAACTGACTTTTAGCTTCATGAATTATCTTTATTGTAATGGTTTTTATTCATTAATTTATGGTTTTTTTTTAAATAATTTATTTGCTTCCAATGGGTGGGGGTCATTCTGTTGATCTTTATCTGATTTCCTAAGTTGGTTGCCTAGTTCATTAATTTTCAGACTTCTAAATTATGCACTTAGGGGCTCCTGGGCGGTTCAGTGGGTTAAACTTCTGCCTTCAGCTCAGGTAATGATCCCGGGCTCCTGGGATGGAGCCCCACTTCAGGCTCCCTGCTCAGTGCAGAGCCTGCTTCTTCCTCTGCTCCTCACCCCGCTAGTGCTCTCTCTCTCCCTCTCTCAAATAAACAAATAAATAAAAATCTTTAGAAAATATTAAGCATTTAAAATTTTAAAAAAACTTCCTTCTTGCACAGTGTTTCATCTGCAACCCCCCAAATTTTCACTTTAATTACTTTGCAATCTTAAGTATTTTCTAATTTTCTTTTTTTTTTTTTTAAGATTTTATTTATTTATTTGACAGAGAGAGACATAGTGAGAGCAGGAACACAAGCAGGGGGAGTGGGAGAGGGAGAAGCAGGCTTCCTGCTAAGCAGGAGCCCGATGCAGGGCTCGATCCCAGGACCTTGGGATCATGACCTGAGCCGAAGGCAGATACTTAACGACTGAGCCACCTAGGCGCCCCAAGTATTTTCTAATTTTCGTTACAGCTTTTTTCCTTGGTCCATGGGTTATTTAGTAGTGTGTTTTAAAAATTTAATGTATAAGGTTTTAAGTAGTTTTTGTTGTTGTTAATTATTTCTTGGGTTTTTTTCTGTTTTGCTTTGTTTTTAAGATTTTATTTATTCATTTGACAGAGGGAGAGCACAAGCAGGGGGAGTGGCAGGCAGAGGGAGACGGAGAAACAGACTCCCCACTGACATTCTTGTTTATCCTCCAACTTTTTAAAGGAACACTTCTTTTTTTTTGTACTTTTTTTTTTTTTTTTTTTTTAAGTAGGCTTCATGCCCAACATGGGGCTTGAACTCATGACCCTGAGATCATGGGAGAAAATCTTTACAAAGCATACATCTGATAAAGAGCTTGCATCCCAGGGGCCCCTGGGTGGCATATTTGGGTGAGTGTCAGACTTGTGGCATTCTTGTTTATTATATGTATATGAACTATACTGTTTCGTATTTTCACCAGCAAGGTTCAAGAGCTCCAGTTGTTCTTTTTTTTTTTTTAAATGTTACCTTCATTTTTAATTTTTTTAAAGATTTTATTTATTTATTTGAGAGAGAGAGAATGAGAGAGAGCACATGAGAGGGGGGAGGGTCAGAGGGAGAAGCAGGCTCCCTGCCGAGCGGGGAGCCCGATGCGAGACTCGATCCAGGGACTCCAGGATCATGACCTGAGCCGAAGGCAGTCGCTTAACCAACTGAGCCACCCAGGCGCCCCAAGAGCTCCAGTTGTTCTAAATCCTCTTGAGCACTTGGTATTGTCAAATCAAAATTTTTAAGCATTTTAATAGGTATGCAGAAGTATCTCATCTGGTTTTAATTTGCGTTTCCCTAGTGACTAGTGATGCTGAGCATCTTTTCATGTGCTTAGTTGCCATCTATATATCTTTTTTGGTGAAATATATCTGTTCAAGTCTTTCGCCCGTTTTCAAAAAAGCAGGTTATTTTCTTATTATTGACTTTGTAGAGTTCTTTATATCTTTGGGATGCAAATTCTTTTTTTTTTTTAAGATTTATTTATTTATTTGAGAGAGAGGGACAGAGGGAGAGGGAGAGAGAAACTTCAGCAGACTCCTCCCTGAGCTCGGAGCCCAACTTGGGACTTGATTTCAGGACTCTGAAATCATGACCTGAGTCAAAACAAAGTCTGACACTCAACCAACTATGCCACCCAGGGGCCCCTGGGATGCAAGTTCTTTATCAGATGTATGCTTTGTAAAGATTTCCTCCCAGACTGTGGTTTGCCTTCATTCATTCCTGTAACAGTCCCTTGCAACCATTGTATCTGTTTTCTGTCCCTATGGTTTTGCTTTCACAAAAAGGGCACATAAAAGGAATCATGCCGTCTGGAGTCTTTCAAGCCTGGCCTCTTTTACTTAATATGACACATGTTGTGGAGCATATCAATTGTTCGTTCCTTTTTATTCCTGAGTAGTAGCCCATTGCATGCAGTGTTCCACAGTTTGTTTATACATTCTCCAGTTGAGGAACATTTGGGTTATTTCCAAGTTTGGGCTATTACAAAAAGAGCTGCTATAAACATTCTTGGGCAGGGTTTTGTGTGAACATAACTTTTCATTTCTCTAGGGTAAATACCTAGGAGGGGGATTACAGGGTCATATGGTAAATGTATAAGCTACCTTTATAAGAAGCTGCTAACCTGTTTTCCTAAGTGGCTATAGCGTTTCATATTTTCACCAGCAAGGTTCAAGAGCTCCAGTTGTTCTAAGTCCTCTTGAGCACTTGGTATTGTCAAATCAAAATTTTTAAGCGTTTTAATAGGTATGCAGAAGTATCTCATCTGGTTTTAATTTGCATTTCCCTAGTGACTAGTGATGCTGAGCATCTTTTCATGTGCTTAGTTGCCATCTATATATCTTTTTTGGTGAAATATATCTGTTCAAGTCTTTCGCCCATTTTCCAAAAAGCAGGTTATTTTCTTATTATTGACTTTGTAGAGTTCTTTATATCTTTAGGATGCAAATTCTTTTTTTTTTTTTTAAGATTTATTTATTTATTTGAGAGAAAGAGAGAGGGAGAGAGAGGGGCAGAGGGAGAGGGAGAGAGAAACTTCAGCAGACTCCTCCCTGAGCTCGGAGCCCAACTTGGGACTTGATTTCAGGACTCTGAAATCATGACCTGAGTCAAAACAAAGTCTGACACTCAACCAACTATGCCACCCAGGGGCCCCTGGGATGCAAGTTCTTTATCAGATGTATGCTTTGTAAAGATTTCCTCCCAGACTGTGGTTTGCCTTCATTCATTCCTGTAACAGTGACTTTTGAAGAGCAGTTCTTAATTTTGACGAATTTCAATTGATCGATTGTTTTCTCTTAGGGATCATGCTCTTGGCATTATATCTAAGAATTCTTTGCCCAGCCCAAATTCACAAAAATTTCTCTTGTGTTTTCTTCTAGAAATTTTATATAATCATAGCAGCTATCTCATGAGGTTGTTGTATTGAATGGGGGTAATATATGTAAAGCCCTTAGCACAGGGCCTGGCACAGAATGAACCCTCAGTAAACAGAGCCTAAGATGGACATTTGCCTAGGTGATATTTATAAGGCGTGCCCTCACACCCACCACACATTTCCTCTGCACAGACCTGTGTCCTGTCATCACAGAATGACAAGACACAGCAGCAAAGCATATCCTTGTCCAACCTGATCCTGGAACCAATGGAGGTATGTGGGCAATTGAGAGAGGCCGTAAGGACTACAGGTCATCTCAAGAACCAGACCCGGAAGGTGTTCTTCCTACTGCAACTAGCTCTCCGCTAGCCTGCTTGTTTCCATGCAACCTGGAGGTCTAGCCCAAATTATGATGCGGTTCTGGGGACTAAGGTCTATTTATTGAGCACCTACTGTGTGCCAGGCCATTGGCTCCAGCAGCTAACGAGATAGAACCCACAGACTAGCAGAAGAAAAAAAATGAACCAATAATTACATAATTAATTACTGAATTAAGGAAAAGGATGGGGGGGTTACATCCAATAAAAAAATTGTTGCCTTTCCTCTGCCTCCGCCTCTGTACCAGGCGTCTCGGGGCCCTCCAGGCTGGGGGTGGGGGTGCTCAGACACAGGGGCCCACGTGATGTGGAAAGGTCCTCGGGGAGGTGGGGGCTGTGCTTTGGAGGGCTCTGAGAGAGGGGTTATTCATTCGTGGTCCATTCATTCATTCGAGAAATCTTCAGGCGGCACCTACTGTGTAGGCAGACCAACGCGGCCCCTGCCCTACTATGTTGGGGGGCAGACAGCGACAGGAAAAAGATAACGAAGACGGTTTCAGCCAGAGCCTTAGGCACGGCGGGGCTGTGATGGGGACAGGGCGGCCCGGTAGAGCGGCCGCCCGGGGACGGGGTCTTCCTGTATTTCCGGCACCCACCCCCGCGCCCCGGCTCCGCAAAGAGGTCACCACGCTAGCGACGAGCGCGCCCTCCGCCCGGCCCGCAGCACGCGCGCCCCCGCGAACGAGCGCGCGCGGCCCACTGCCCGCCCGCGCCCCGGCGCCCTCCGCGCACGACGCCCCCTGGCGGGAGCCCTGGACCACACCGGCCGCGCGAGCAGGGGAGGGGGCGGGGGCGCCGCGCACGCGCAGGGCCGGCGGCGCGCGCCGAGCGGGGGGCACCGCGCGGGTGCAGCCACGATGGAAGGGGGTGCGTACGGAGCGGGCAAAGCCGGGGGCGCCTTCGACCCCCACACCCTGGTCCGGCAGCCGCACACCATTCTGCGCGTCGTGTCTTGGGTAAGGACGGCTGGGTGGCCCGGCCGCGCCGGGGGTGGCGTGTCGTGGGGGCGCCGGCGAGGGCGGCGCGCCCGGACGGACCCCAGACCCGCCGGACCCCGGGCGAAGGTGCCGCAGCCCGCGGGGAGCCTTCCCGACAGGGTGCCGGCGCCCGCCCCCACCCTCCTTCCCCGGCCCCAGGCGGGGGTCCCAGCGCTGGCGAGGGGCGCCCGCTCCTGCTGCCGGCGCCCTTGCTGCCCGGCGCTCCCATTCGCCTGTGGCCCCGCCATGGTCGTGACCTCCAGGCCGCGGCTATGCGGCTCGCGGCTCGGGTTGCGCGTTGCCGCCCGGGCGGATCAGCGCCGGTGGGGACCGAGCCCGGGTTTCAGGTGGCCTTTTTTGGGGGGGTGGATCAGGGCGTGGATCATCTCATGGGGTGCACGCCGCGTCTGCTGTAGACGTTGGAGGAGAGGGCCGGAAACCAGGTTTGATGGCTTAGCCCGGAAGGTATGGAGCGATGCGTCGGGAGCCGGATACCTGGCTTCCACCCGGGAACTGCCTCTCCTTCGCTGCGTGACCTTGGACTGGGAACCACCCAAGAAATGTTTATGGGAAACGAGGAGTTACATTCTGAGGTGGGGAGAGTCAACTCCTTTCTCATGCCTCAGTTTCCCGATTTGTAGAAAGGTGGGAGAAGCCACCTTGGGCTCTGATATTTCCTGAATCCATAACCGCCCCGCCCCCAAGTACACCTGGATGCTTGGGGGTGGGGGGTTAGGGGAGAGGCCCCCTACCCACAGGGAAGAGCAGAGAGGCCCGTTCTGGAGCTCCAGCCTGGTGGGGGTTAGAATCCCCCAGCAGTAGGGGGTCCCTGCTCAGACCTGGGGCTGTGGGGGAGGAGGATGGGACAGAGACAGTGAGCACAGAGCGAGGGGTTCAGATGGTCTGGGCAGCACCCCAGGAGAGGAAGGCCCGCTGTGGGAAGGGGTGCTTAGGGCCCCCTAGGGTTTGCTGGCCATTGCCCAGACACCCTCACTAGAGGGTCATGTCTCTGCGGACCTGGGGCCTATTCCTGTGGGCCCATACCAGAAGGGCTAGGATTGGGGACACTGGGCAGGGTCACTTCAGTGACCCCAAGGGGCTACACCTAAGGCCAACTGTGGCCTCAGGGTGCTCAAGCCCCCTCACTTCCTGGGTTTTCAGGGCAATATTAGGGTCTGATGGGTGGGACAGCATGGGTGTTTATCTCTGGCCTCCCAGAGAGAAAGGAAGCTAACTGTCCTTTGTCAGAGAACGTTAAAACCTCTCCCTGGTGCCACAAGAAGCCATGTGTAAACCCCTTTCTTCTCAAGTACCCACCAGATGGGGAGCTCGCTGAGGGCAGGGAAGCCCCAGTGGCTGCACAGGACCTGGCAGTCGGCCTGGCACCCTGGGCACATCCAGAAGGCTTTGTGGTGCTGGATTCATTCATCTATGCCAGTCTCCAGCTCCGCAGAGACCCCGACTGGCTGTTGGCAGAGATAGAGCTCTGGGGGGGCACCTGCCTGATCCGGTGGGCCAGCTGTGTGCTCTGCTCCCCTTTGCCAGCCCCTGGGCCATGGGCCTGGGAGGGTGAAGCCACTGGCTTTGTGAGCAGGTGTGGGCAGTTTGCCTGGTTAGGGCACTTCTGCCTGTGACAGCTTCATTTAGCAAAGCTTCATCCAGTCTGCTGGGCCCTTAGGGAAGGCGGCATGACTCAGACGCAGCCTTTAGTGCTCAGGGATGGCACAGTCCCACTGGGAAGGGAGCCAGGTACCCCCCCCCCCCCCGGGCAGAGGGGTCCCCCTGCCATGGGAATCAGAGAGGCTTCGTGGAGAAGGTGATATCAAATTGGGCCTTGAAGGATGAGCAGGGCTTACCTCTGTTCATATCTGGGTGCAGGGAGACATTCCAAGCAGGAGGAAGGAAAAGGAACTGACGGAGAACCCACTGTGTGCGAGGTGGGGGGTGAGGGGCGCACACAGTCACCCAGCTCATTCCCCTACAGCCTGCATCACTCGAAGAAGTAGGCTCAGAGAGACCCAAGGTTACTGAGCATGTAAGCAGCAGACAGAGGACCGAACCCAAATCTTGGCATCTCCAAAGCACATTGATTGCTTCCCTGGGAGCTGGAAGAGGTCAGAATCCTGGGTTTCAAGACTGGGCAGGATAAAGGTCATCTGGGCCAACCAGCATCTAAGGCCCAAATCCCCCCACGGCCTCCTAGTTCTGCTCACTACTTTTGTGTGAGCAGAGGCCGCTGATACAGGCCGATTGTCACCTTTAAAAAATATATCGTATTTTTTTTCTGATCACAAAAGTAATGCCTGCTGATGTATGGGAAATATAAACATCACTTGCGATGGTCACACAACAATATAAATGTACTGGACTTAATACCATGTGCACCTAAAAGTGATGATGGTGGTACATTTTATGTCCTATCTATTTTACCACAATAAAAACAATCAGGAAAAAAAAAATCACGTGGGATCCCACCACTCAGGGAGGCCCAGTGCTTCCTTCCAGTGTTTTTTGAAAATGTGTGGTATACCAACATGTTTTAACACGTTGACAAGCATGCAGAGGATGCAGTTGGTGACCTGCCCTTCGCCCTGGTGTTGCCTTGGCGCCCCATGGGGTCAGGGAGGCATCAGGCTTTACCTTCAAGCTAAGGAAGCCTGAGCTCCAGGGCTAGGGTGACCAGTTCATCCCGGTTTGCTGGAACTTTCCCAGCTTTAGCGCTGAAAGTCCTGTGTCCTGGGAGCCCTGTCAGTCCCACACAAACCTGGACGCCTGGTCCCTCCATCCTGGACCACTCCTGTATTTCTCCCGTGTAGGCTGGGGGCAGCCCTAGCCCCATGTGCTTGTGGGCTGGTGATTTTGTGCCATTTGTAAAAGACAGATCTTGTTTCTGAAAGAGGGACCCCCATACCTGGATCTACCCTGGAACCTGAGCCACTGGGACAGAAGCACGTTGCCCAGCATCTCCTCTTTGGCTTCCTCAGCTCCTCTCTGCGCCCCCCTTCCCCACCCACTGGCCCCCAGGCCCGGTGATTAGGCAGAGCGGGCATTGAGCGCTTTGGCTAAGTGGGGAGGGGGCTGGCAGCCCTCTGGCTCAGCTGACTTGGACCTTTCCTGCCCGGGGTGAGGAGGGGACGGCTGAGAGGGGGGCAGCAAGGGAGGGCGAGCTCAGAGCTGCTGCCTCTGACCGGGTTGGAGGGAGACAGCGCGGTGCTGGCTGGCGGCCAGGAGAAGACTGCCTCTAGGCTGCTCCATGCAGCAGCTGCGACCACCCTTGTGCCTCGGTCTCCCCAGCTCAGTGAGGAGGCTGAGCTAGGTCAGAGGTGCTCCAAGATTGCAGCCTGTCAGCGGACGCCTTTCTTTGTGCTGGGGCCAGGTGGGGGACACGGAGCTCCGGCAGGGAGCTAACTGATTTCATATAAAGGACCCCCCTGTGGCCTTTGCGATCTTTTAGACGGTCCACCTGATCTGCGGGGAAGGAATATTGGCACTGGTAGAGGAGAGGGTGGTTGGTGTTTTAATGTTCAGTCTGAGCAAAACAGGATGCTAAAATGTTTGAAATTTCGGCGTGTTCAGGGTTGATTTCTGAACACCCCAGGATTCTGTGAGTAGGGTGGGTATCGCCCCCCCAAACGACAGAATAAGGCACAACCTGAAGGTCTGCGGGGTCCACATTCAGTGTACCCGCTGTGGCCTCCCTGTCTAGGTTGCCATGGTCTCATTTCATCAACACCCTCAGTCATCCTGGTGAACACGGACTATAAAAGCAGAGCTTGCTTTGGAAACACAGCAGCTTCGAGATGAGATCCCTTGTCCCCTCTCCCATCCAGATCGCCATTCCCTAGCCGTCCTGCATCAAAATCCTGGAGCTGTGGGGTGGCGAAAAGGGGTCCAGGGTGGAGATGGAGCCTCTGGCCAGCTCTGGCATTCAGTCATCCATTCCACAAATGCCAAGTCCCTGCCCAGTACCAGCCTGTGTGTCCCACCAGAGACACTCTCAGTCCAGTGACTCGGAGACTTGAGACACTACAAGAAGAAAATCCAGTAGGGGGTAGCTGCCTCTGCCAGGGGGGTATGGAGGACTTCCAAGGGGAAGTGACTTCTGGGTTGGTTCTGATAAAGATGTGAGGAGGGAACATTCCAGGTGAAGGGAACAGCGTGTGCAAATATCTGGAGGCATGAGGTCCGAGTGGGCTTCAGAAACGATGGTGAGCTCTTGGAGGTTCTGGGTGTGTGAGTGAGAGTGACGTCACACTGTGGGTGTGCTCAAGAGTGGCAGGTGGAGGGGGGGCGGCTCACAAAAGACCTCAGGTGGCAGATGCACACACTGGACTTCATCTGAGGGCCAAGGGCAGCCACAGAGAGGGGTTTCAAACAGAGAAGAGCTCCCTGTGGCTGCCATGTAGAGGTGTGGCTTGAGAGGGTCCTGGGGGCAGGTGTCCTGACAGGAAATGGGTGGCCTCATACAGCCTGTCCTCTCCCGGCACCTGGCACAGCCCTGTCACTAACTCAGGGAGCTACGTCCATGGAGGTAGATCACATGCTCCTTTGGCATTTATCACTAACAGCCTTGGAATCTTCCTTGTCTTTTCATCTGCTTGTGACTGACCTTTGGCTGGTCTATCTCACTTAGGTCTAGGATGGAGTCAGTGGCAAGGAGATCTTCAGGAGATGTTGGCTGGTAGGTGAGGTCTTCAGGAGATGTTGGCTGGTGGGTGAGGTCTTCAGGAGACGTTGGCTGAGGGTTGAGGTCTTCAGATGTTGGCTGATAGGTGAGGTCTTCAAGAGACATTGGCTGAGGGCTGAGGTCTTCAGATGTTGGCTGGTAGGTGAGGTCTTTAGGAGACGATGGTCGAGGGCTGAGGTCTTCAGGAGATGTTGGGTGGTAGGTGAGGTCTTCAGGAGACGATGGTCGAGGGCTGAGGTCTTCAGGAGATATTGGCTGGTAGGTGAGGTCTTCAGGAGATGTTGGCTGGTAG